TAGCCCAAGGGAAAGAGAGGGACAGGAAGGACAGCAGACCGGAAACTAGGGACAGGACAGAGAAGGAGCGCCCTCTGGCAGCAGAGGGCGTGACATACAGTGCATATCCAAGCAGGGATCATGTGTTTGGCAGAAAATAATTTTTGGAGTTAAATTCAAATCTTATGCTGATGTCTTTTTTTGGCTATTGCTGTTGATACTAATAATGATAATGTAATGGTCACTTATTTTCTTTAAGCCATAGAAGATATTAATTATATATTTGACACCAGTTCTATGTTAATAAGCCTTCAAGTTATAAACACATCTAGTTCCATCTATAAGACACACTCTTAGAGTGAATGACGCTTTGGAGAAAGATGGAAAAAGTACACCAATGGCTATTCTGGTTGTTATTTTAGAGCATGGAGTGTATTTTTACCCTGATGTTGGACATAATTTACTTTACAGACTCATGCTAAAATGTATACTTTTGGGCTACTTATGTCTTTTGTGGTTGTCAAGAGAGCAAGAGTTGCAAGTCATTCTTAAAGAAGAACTCCCCTCAAATAAAAAGAATGACTGGAAATCGTGACTGTAGGGGAAAGGAAGTGTATTCTGGCTTTATTGTACAAAATACATTGAGACATTCATGGATTCATGGATGTGGTACATGACTCATAGTATTACTGTACCATTAACCATTCTAAGTTAAGCAATTTCTTTGATGACATTCTTTGCCTATCCTTAAATTTCCCAATATTTGTAAAAAAATATTGATTAAATGTATATACTTGCCATTTGCAAAAATTTGAAGATAAGAACATTCAAGGGCCTTTTTTGTTTGTGTTTTGTAGATTAAAACATCTAACTAAAAACAATGGAAAAGGGGAAGTCACTTATGAATAAAAACAAGTTGCAATAGTGACAAATGGAGCAATAACAGCAAATATATCTAAAATGCAGGTGTTTTACATATACTTCTCATATAGTACATATAAAGTTATCTGTTGAAGCTGACCTTACTTATAATTTGTAAGGTCACTATTTATTAAAGTAATACAATTCCTTACAACAACAACAACTAACAACTTCATTATAACTTTTACACTGGTAAAAACAAAAAATTATGTTTTGAGGTATAAATTCCAATGTAATGTGACGATCTTCAAACCCGGACACAATACTAAAGTGAAAAGACTCCTTAAAATTTCATGGAAAAAGGAATGCTGGATTTAAAGACGTTAGAAATTATAAACATCACGTATTCTGGCAAAAGGGCAATTGCCCACTCTTGACTGTAAAGAGTTTCCATATTATGTCATATATAAACATGACAACCAGAGTCCTGAAGCATCTTCCTTGCTTTCTGTTTTACGCATTTTCAATGTGTTTTACTGTACCTTTTAGCATTTAAACACCATCATATAACCATCATGGCTGTGGCTCCAAAACTTCTAGGGTTACACGTGTCTGTAAAAGGCCTTAAACACGGCACCATGGGTGACTGGTTTTCTGTACCTAGTAAAGGATAATGGGTTGTAAAAATGTCATTTTGTAAGCAAAGAACGCAAAAGACAAACAGTAGCTGATCATTATTACCTAAATGAACCTGCCAAACTGGCTCTATCCTTAAAAATCATGGAATGAATACATCTTATGAATGTTTACAAAAATATACAATGGACACAGAAACTTTAAAGACTGCGGTTGGAAAGCTGTAATAATGGGTTTCTTGTCAAATTAGTCATATAATATGAGAAAGAAAAAACATAGGGAGATTGCAAAATCAGTAGAATAAAAAGCAACATCCGGCATAACAATTCACAGGGAATCATTGCAGCTTTAGGTTGACTCACAGATGTTGGGTATATTAATGTGCCAGAGGAGGTCTATTTTCAATGCAGATCACATTGTTTTTGTGTCTTTTTGGTTGAGAAGATACATCAAGGTAATGATTTTAATTTATTGTGGATACCAGAATAGAGAATAGAGGTTGATAGAGATAATAAAGTCACTGTCACTGGACAAATCTGCACGTACTATATAAACATTCAATTTAATTAACTAGCCTAGAAGAGAGGAATGTATTTTGCATATCTGTGACAGTTTCTTTAACTTGAAAACGTTAAACTTCCTAATTAGAAATGCACTCCTTTTAAAATCCTTCATTTTCACCATTATCAATTAATTATTGATATTTTATTATGAATCATCATTACTTCTCTCTTGCCTTTTCTTATCATTGTCATTACACATTGTTTAGACTGGCCTAGTAATTGACTTGATTGCTTGTCTGGTAATACTAATTTTACTTTTGGTTGTGTTTCCTTACAGTTCAGTACAGTTCAAACATGGAGATTATGAAGACTCTGCTTTTTATTTCCCTCTTAGTGGCAACAGCCTCTTCGCTTTCAGTAAGAATTCTTTAGTTTATATAAGTGTTGATAGATGTCATAATAAAATACAGACCGAAATTATGATTTTATTGTCTTTCACTAGCAAATTTTCTCCTGTTCTTAGCACACGATAATAAGATTCAAAACAAATGGAGCTACTCATCAGTAAAACATTTATTTGTGATTAACAGTGTAAAAATGCAGTATACAATATGCAGAAAAGTGAGGTAAAGTAATTACCATCTGACACAAATAAGGGAAGCCCAACGGAGTGTTGTTATTCACCATACTAGTTTGAAAATCCCCATTGGTTTTGATTGAGATCTAATGACATCAGGCTACAAGGAGGCAAGGAGACAAGTGTGTTTTGTAAATCGTGTTTCCTTTCTAACAACAGATGTACAAGTGGCAGGCAGAAAGGCTACTGAGGCAAGCAGCACGTTCTCAAAGCAGTTCAGAATCTGGATCAGAATCTGAAGACAGCTCCTCCTCTGAAGAAATCCTGCTGAGGAGGACAACCACCAAAGCTACAACTACAACTACCACTACAGCTACGACCACCACCACGCCAAGCGTCACAAGTTGTTTCACTACAGACATTGGACTTGGAAGCCAGACCACAGGCATGGTCCAGACAACGGACAACAGAGGAGATAGTTAATGTTTTGGCTTAGATGAAAAGATTTTTTGATACCACAACTGGATGTTGTTTTCATTTTCATCTCTTTGTCTTAATAACTTGATTGTGTTTACTTAATCAGTTCTAGCTTCTAAAGGTTATTTGTTATTAATTCATCAGATATGATTCACAAATGCAAACTCACAGAGAGGACAGGTGGACAAGCCCTTAGTAAAGAAGTTGGTATCCTATTAAAGCATGAAATGAGTCGGTTTTAAGCAGCAGCTCCTCTAAACTGCAGATCAAGCAGAGAAGTGAGAAGTTAATAACTGTGAGTTTGCTTCTGTCTGGTACCTAAATTTAATTTCCATTTTATATTGAAAAAATACCTTAATCCAATTTTTACCCGTACTCTTCTTTATTGAAATTTTCATGTAACCAAAAATAATAAAAAGCATTTATTTAACTATATGCCTAAATACAGACTTATGGTTTTCTGCATGCATACAACTGTGATACACAGGACATACTATATGAAAAGGAAGATACAGTATGGTTGGATTATATTTCAGGCCTTTGTTGCTAATCAGAGTGATCACAAGGTTTTTGAAATGGTTTTATAAACCTTGAAAAATCAAAGTGTGATTTATATAAAACATTAATAGGTTAACAGTTGATTTTATGGGCAGTAATGGAATCCCCTAAGCACCGCTGTCATTTGTATGAATATTAATCATCTCTATAGAAGTCTGAACAGAAAACAATTTCACAGTATTCAGCATTTATTATCTATATGCAGATTTTTAGGGTCTTTGAGACCCAAACTGCATTGCATTCTTTTACAATATTTACATATTGATCAATAATTTTTCAAGACATAAAATAAATTCCCTTTGTTTTATTAACAAAATCAATGAAATTTCAATGAAATGTTTTGGTTATATTATCAATAGGCCAAATAGTATTGAATAGTATAGTATAGTATTGTCTTTGACTATGTTAAAGACAAGCAAGCTTTGTTTTGTCTTTCAATGTTTTCAATTTTCACAATTGCCATACTTATTAAGGTCATGTATTAAGCTCTTCGAAGGACAGCAACATAGCACAAGAAAGAAACATGGCTGTCTGCTTGTCTATGTAAAGTTTCCTACTCCGTTATAATCCAGATTTACGTGCTTTATTCATCCTGATGTTGTGGTTGTTTCCATGACTTAAAATGGGATTTTGAAGGAAGTAGCTCATTGGCTTTACAAACTGCTCTGCTACAGTATGTTGACAGCAGACTGAGGTGGACTGGGAAAATGGGGTGTTGTCTCTATTGCTGGTTTTCTTGCTTCCTTGTGGTTTCCTCCACCCATAGTTACTATGAATACTTATTAGTAGTTACTTGATGTATTAGAAATGGGTTATTCTGTGTATATATAGTATGTACTGTATATATAAGGTGCAGTATGCTTTGTTGTATTTATTCTTTTCTTTTGATGTTTTATCAGTTAAATCTAAGGTTATTTGGATGCTTGCCTTTTGCATTTTAACATCCCAACCATTAATAAGAGAAATTCAAAATGTCTCATTAATTATTTTCCACAATTATAAAACAATTACAGCAGGAACAACAGGAGCATTTCTGCAGCAGCTCCCAACTGTTTCCTCTTGTTGTGCACTGCAGGGGTCGGAGACTGTGACACAGGCGTTGTGAGAAAGAACTGAATTAAATTATTTCTAGTACTTTTCTGTCCAATAATAAGCACTTACATTATTTTATAATAAATAAGGAAATATCTTTTGCAATACAATGCAAATCACATTTCTGTTTGTCCAAAACATCTTGCTCTCCCTTCACCGTCAATAGTGGGACTTTACCTTATATTACAGGTAAAGAGGTTTTCATTCAGTCTAGGCCTTAGTCAGATCAATGTGGACTATGTTCATAGACCCAGATTAACACCAACCCTGCATGTACAGTACTGTGAATTTAGCAGTAGGTAATTCATTATGTGTGCTAATTGGGGTCTGTGAAACTACTGATAGCATTGCCTGAGTTCTTGTTGATGGAGCAGCCCCTAGAGACCAGGTAAGATCACAGCCTTTTCTTCTGGATTTTTCCATGTACTCCTGTACACTGGACTCTTTTTGTACTCAAGCACACCTTTTTGCCAGTTGATTGCGTGTTCTGCTGAAAATAATGTACAGTAAATGGTACAGTACACGGAGCATTTTTTTTATGAAAATGTATTACAGACCTTATCCTTGCTGTGTTTAGTATTAAAGATGCCATTATTATATGGCACTACATGCCACCTTTAACATGTTTTAATAACAAACACCTCCATTATGTAATGTCTAGTTTTATAATGACAGTGGAGCCTCAGGAAAAATTACAGTTACTTTGTGTCTTGAGGACAAGGGTAGGTTTGGTTTTCCTGCAAAAACAAACCTTAGTCCACAGAGTTAAAGTATTACAGAATTACAATACTTTGTAATAGTGTATCTTGCATTGTTGTAATGACTTATTTACTTTATCTTTGTTTTATGCCATTGTCTTATCCTATTAAAGTCAGCGTGGTTTATACAAACTATGTACCACATTGTCCAGAAGTACCTACAAGATATCTTAAATTTACTCTTCAGATTTCACTCTTGCAGAACATACAGTACACAGTATGTAACCCGTGTGCCTGAGACACAATATACTGTACACTATATACTTGTACAGTTTGTCTTTATGTAATATTTGTAGCTTTCAAGCAATGTGCAAGACAGTTAAAATATATCTTGTTTTCCATTATTTTCATTTTATGAAGTTAATACAGTGTTAGGAATGTATATGGAAAAAAATAAAATAAATACTTTTTTATCAATTATGTTCTGTCCAAAAATATTGAGTTAAGTCTTCCCAAATTATATCCCTCTATACTACATGACAAATCTCGTTTATTTAATACATTTCCTTACTGGAAACAAGTCAGTGGATTTTTATGTGGATATTCTTTGTAGATATATCAAAACAGGGCTTCATACATCTAGAATAAAAGACTCAGTTTTTTGCTTTGTTTACACTGCATTTATTACATACCACTTTGAAAAAAATCTGAACTGGTGTATCCTTAATATTTAAATGTGTTCATACAGGAGTTTTCATGTGAATTTTGAATTGGATTGCTGAACTTTTATTGCACCTCCCGGGGCAACTGTAAATGCCTATTTGTGAAATGAAAAAAACAAGCGTAAATTTTAATTAAAATGTGGTATCTCATCAGAAATGTTCCTTTTGCAGCCACAACCTTCTTAGCAACTTTGGGATTCTGCCCTGACAAATACTGTGGTAATTTAATCCAATTATGAAGTTTGTTTTCTTAACAAGAAAAACATTCACCTTCATCAGACTGATGTCTGGAACACAAACAATAGAGTTCCTGATTGTGGTTACAGTTATGTCATTGGGTTAAGCCTAAAACTCTTCTGATCTCTAAAAATTCCAAATTCCATTCCCTCAAAAATGCCTGACAGATATCAATCATATTCCGACAGCAGGATGGAATTGTTTACATTAAGGGTTTAAAGACGTTCAGGAGGATAAGATAGGTACAGATATAAAATAAAAGCCAATGGCTAAATAGGTAGAATACTTGGCCTGTATTCCACATACCATCCACTCCACTGTCAATTAAAAGGCAAAAACAGTGGCAGCAGGCCAGCTTAAATCATAAAGGTGTTCTTGAACATAAGACATGAAATCAACTGTTTTGCAAACTAGTTTTTATTTTCACTGGTATCATCATGCAAAAGTGATTTTATAGTGAAAACATTTATTAATGTGCGCTGTGGTATTCAGTGATAAGAGCCCAGCAGAGTAAGGCAAAGCACAGTGTTTTTGAAGTATTTATGAAGCATTTACTGTACTGGTCAATTCAAACCATGGGGAGCCATGCTGGAGTAAACCCCAAATAAATGTATTGTATAATAAGCAATATAAAAATGTTGTATAGCAAAATTACCATGCAAACTCTTCAATAAAAGATATCATAATACACATGCAGGAATGTGCTTTTTGTCCTTCCCCCAGCCAGTTACAGGCTTAAAATGTTTACATTTTAAACTGGCTTTTTGATCACTTCTCAGTTTCTTTTTTCCTAGGTATACTTTATTACAATTGGCTGTGTAAGCTATAGCATCTGGAATGTTTACACATTTACAAAGGAAAGTCAAATCTACAGTATCTTGCTTTCACTGGTTTCCTTTTCCTTTTCTAACAAAATTAGATAATTGCTATAATTTCATCAAGAAAGCTTTTTTTAATACATTTTCATAAGATAAATTAAAGGGAATGTGTATCTTGTAAGGTAAGTGCTAGACATTTAAAGTATTTCGTAATTGTATTTCTGAAAAGACAAGTTGCTTGTTTTATATCACCTTTCTCTGCTTGTCTTTTGTCCTAATTTAATTTTATAATGCTTTATAAATAATTGGTGCTTAGGAAAAGGTAGTCAACAAAATAATACATAATGGCTGACTGAAAAAAGTATTATGGTATTTTTGATTATAATAGAAAATGTTATCATGTGAGCAGTAATTAAAAAAACCAGATTACAAGAAACCTGCAGGTGAAAAGAGAATTACTGACTTGTCTTTATTGAACAGCTTTTAATAGTTCACACTACATTCATTTTTAACAGTCTTATAATACACAGCATACCTTATTCCTATCATTCTTGGATCAATGACCAGCTTGTCTCACAGTAGAACACAAAATAACTGAATCTCCCAAGACTAAATGGTCTTTTTGGACACTTTGTTTCAGGTCGCATTTGGGGTAAAATATTTAATTTTCCTTTAATCCACAACTCTATAATTCAGGACCTTATAACTGACTTTGCGTAATTTGACTCCTAAGGAAAATCTTAAAATAGATACCCCCTACAAATCTGTCTTAATTTCTTACTTAATTTATACCTGAAAATACATACACAAATAAATGCTCCGTAATACCTTTAAAGATTTCTGCATGCCTAGAGTAAAAAAACTATAATAGAGTCATGTACTGTACATGGTCTATAGGACTCTTTCAGGAATGCATCTTGCTTGTTAAAAAGTATTCTCCATCATTATACACTGTGATGTTCTGCAGAAAATTCAATCTATCCATAAAGATTCAAGCTCAGGATCTGAGAAATTCTGTTTGGAATTTCAAGGAATCCAACTTATATCTCTGCTATCTTGTTAATTTTGTACTTATTCTTGTGTGTGTGAGACAGTAACAGAACTCTCTCTGTTAATCCTCAAAAATAAGGATATTGTACACTGATGTGGCTTCCTTAAACGTTATCACATACAGTAGAGTCATTTGCCTTAATTAGTCTATTGACAAGTATTTATCTATACCTCAGAAACTGAAGCCACGCATTCAACAATTTACACAGATACTACCTGAAAAAAAGAAAAAAACAACAAAATGTGTTCAATAGATCATAAACATGGACAGCTGTGTGACATAATTGTGATGGAATCTGCTTTAATGTTGAAAACCCACTACATGATAAATGCTATGTGTAAAAGTACACCTACTTTTATGTCTTTGCATTCATTGGATATCTCAGCCATAAGCCAATCTTTAAATGGCAGAGATGAAATTGCAATTATGCTACTGAAAGGTGAAATAAAATATCGTAAATAGCATTCCAACTTCAGCATCTGTTGGATAAGGTAAGGCTGTCTTTCTTACATTATATATAAATCAAAATATTCCTTTAAATGGCACGCATAGTTTCGATTATGCTGTGAACAATTTACAAAGTATAGCATTTGTTTTTTGAAAAAGGATAAATTGTGCTTATAAAAACAAATGAATAAAACCATGAGGAAAAACCAACTCAGACAAACCCTCCGTGCTGCAACATTCTAAGTTTAAACCTTGTTTATATTTGAATGTATCTCTTAAATCTATTGTTGGATCATAAAACCGATGTACCACTAGTCCACCAAACCACAGATATTTAACGCTAAGGAAGTAATCCCCATTCTCGTCTGAACACGAGGATCATGAAGAGATCCTATAATCATGTGTATAAACTGTAGAAATCCCTCCTTGCATCTTTCACTGTTTTGCAAGACATGTTTTAAGTTTTGAAGTGAACGTACTGTTCCAGTATGTGATGAGAGCTAGCCCCATTCCTGTATAAAGAAACCGCGAGGTGTTGCAAAATCCGTAAACTCCTTGTTTAATTATATTTGCCTTACCTGCCACTTTAGTGCCAGTACTGCAAGTGTTGTCTATAAATATAAACAAACTTTTCTCTTTTACAATTCAGCGTTAATTGGGAAGAAAATGTATTTTATGACACATACATTGTAAGAAAATCTGAATGTACAGTAAATTGGTATAAATTCGTTAGAACACAATAGTCATTTAGGCGAGCTGAATTCCTAACAAATACAAACACCTACCTAAAGGTGGAGCTGTCTAATGGTGAAATACAGTATACTGTACCTCGCATTTGTAATCCAGTTAGAGGTAAATAGGCCCTGTAGCTACCTGTAATGCTTTTAGTAGCTCCCCATACATGTTGTATATGACGCAAACTATGTAAGATCTGGCTAATTTAAACTATGGGTTAATTCTATAGCTCCTATATAGGCCATATAGGCTAGTTCTGTAATTGTAATTTTATGCGTGCATCATTACGGGCTATCGGATTTCCACTAATTATGCAGATTATTCTAAAAAAATGTAAGACAAATTAGAAACAAAGGGGTTATTATCACCTAAAGAGACCCAATTGTAAATTTAGGCTTGTTTTATGATTTGAAACCGAAGGAATAGAAGACATACTCGTATATATCATCATGGCACACAATTGTAATGCACACCCAGATAAAAATACAAATATTCTAGAGTTTGTTGGTGAACTTAAATCATATATTGCAAAAATGTGCAACATAAGAATTAAAGCGGACAGATGCAGAATAAGGGGCAATGGGACTGGCAGTCTCTCGACTTTACACACCAGAGGGCACTGTAACAGCTAAATATCACCATACAGCATCGTCTGCTCTGTTCAACACTGATGATGTTAGCGCCCTCTGGTGTCTAAGGTTACTGTCCATGTGAATGTGTCCTCCATGATCTTATTCAAACACTATCAACAGTAGGATGCTGCACGACAGTCGGTTAACAGGTTAACGATTGGGTCGATCGATTAGGACTATTTCATTAGGCCGATGAACGTGCTGTATATGTGATAGTGGATGGGACTTAATAAGCATTGATCAAGCCAAGATTTTTTTTAATTGGCTTGGGTTTCAAGATAATAACATGCTAATAATATTTTTTCTGTTTTCTTCAATTTATTTAAATTAAAACAATTTCACACTGCCAATATGATAACAAAAGTCATCTGGCAGATACTCTTTCTGCATAGTTGTATTACATGAGTAGGTAGTAAAACAACTTTGCAACTCTTTTCATTTGGAAGTTCTTAATATCTAAATTGCTATTTAAATGTTTTATTGAGATAGGGCCATAATACATTAATAAATTCAGAGTATTAATTTTACTATTAATCAATTACCAAAGAAAAGTTGTGTATTCTACAGTGTCTGAATTAAAAAAAATAGTATATGTTTTTCTATTTATGTTTTAATTATGCATTGCTTTGACAGGATTTCAAAATGAAGTATTTTCTTCTGTTATGCTGGGCATTGGGGACATGCCTGTGTTCACCAGTGAGTAGATGTTTCTTGAAGCTTGTTTCTTATAAAACTAAGGGGAAAAAATGAAATCTATTCTAAACAATAATTATGAAGGTCCAAAATGTGCTACACTCAATAATCTGTGTTTAAAGGCTACATGTTACTTGTAAGCATATGGACCTACAATATATACTTACTGTAGATTATACAGTATATGTACTGGTATAGAAACAATACTTCAAATACTCCACCACAACAATATACATTTTCAGCAAGGATGTTATTTCTTAATTTGAGTGCCAATTACTGTGTACTGTATTTATGTCTTTATGTTTTTTTCTTCACAGGTTGGTCGCACATGGCTACCACAATCCATGACTAAGAGGTGGCCTCCTAAGAACCCTCAGCCCTCTAATATGTCTTCTCCCCAAGTCCTTGTTCTACCAGGTGGTCAAGCACAATCTGGAGGCCCAAATATCTTTGTGATACGCCCACCTGCCCCGGCAGCGACAGGAAGAGGAGGGGGAGCACCAGCCACTCCAGCACCAGCTCCTGCAGCCTCTGCTTCCTCACAAGCTGGTGGGGGTTCCTCTCAGCCATTTATATATGTGATCAATCCTTGTCCCCCTGCTGGTGCAGGAGGTGAATCTGGAGGAGGCGGTGGGGTTGTTGTACTGGGTGGTGGAGGTGAGGGAACAGGAGGATTCGGAGCAGCAGGTGCAGGCAGTGGGGGAGGAAGAGCAGGTTTTGGGGGAGGTGGTGGCCTTGCTCCTATTTTTAATGCAGGGTTTGGAGGAGTAGGAACAGAAAGTGGAGGATATGGAGGAACAGGGGCAGCAGGTGGAGGATATGGAGAAACAGGGGCAGCAGGTGGAGGATATGGGACAGCTGGTGCAGGATATGGAGGATATGGGACAGCTGGTGCAGGATATGGAGGATCAGGAGCAGCTGGTGAAGGATATGGAGGGACAGGGGCAGCAGGTGGAGGATATGGAGGAACAGGGGCAGCA